TTTTTTACTCTCATAGATTTTGTTACCATTGCCATGCATTATACGACTGATAGACTGCAACGGTTTGAGTTAAAAATCTTCGTTTGTGTTCTACTGAAGAAACAAAGTCACTGACATCTTGGATGCCCCAGGGGTAAGCAGATAAACATCACATTTTCATTTTTGGGTGAACTATCCCTTTAAGCCATTATATGTCTTTGCACTGAACAGCTGACTATTGAAAATGAGAATTTGGTCATTTAGTCATCTTCTTGTTGTTCCTAACCTGTATGACATTCTTTCTGTTGAACAGAAGAACAGAATGAGATGTTTAGCAGGTCCAAAAAGCATCATAAAAGCATCACAAAATATGGTTTCAAGTCTGTTTCCATTCACTTTCATTGTAAGAAATGCTTCTGACATTCTGCTTAACATTTAATTTCACGTTTCACAGAAGAAAATAAGTGTCAGAATGACGAGAGAGTGTAAACAATGACAAAATGTTCACACATTTTTTGTGTGAACTATCCCTTTAAATGTCTCGGTTTGCTCTGAAGTGTGCGTATACAGATTAACATATATGATTTGCATGCGGGTATATTTTTAGAAGCACATTTGTGTATTTGCGCTCAGGTGTGGCCGAGCAGATTTAAACATGTGGGTTTGAATCAATTCCTAAAATGTAAGTCAGAGTAACTCTCTCACACGCTGAAGCAGATAGCATGCAAACACACGTTTATATGTCCTCTTCAGCTGTTATTTATAGCCTGCAGCAGGTCTTGATCTCGCAGATTGCCGTGTTGAACGTAAATGTGTTATGAATATTATCACATGCAGGTGTGCTGAGCTCTAATGAGCGATAAAGTGCCACACACACCACAGGAAACAGAATCTGATGCTTCCTCTGGTGTAGCCTTAGGTTGAGCTCTGATTGGCTGATAGAGTGGCATCACATGTGCATGAGTATATGAAGATTAAACCACATCTGCACTCTGACCCTTCAGAAACCACAGGCACAGAATTGTTTTAAGACATTAAGGTTGATAAATAAAAAATTAGGCCTATGCATTTACATCAGCATGGAGATCAGTTTCCAGATTTTCTTTCTAAATGCTTAAATAAAATATTTTAAAAGTGACTTAAATTATAATGAGTGCAATACTAGCTTACTACATACTGAATGATATTTATACAGGGTTTCTGCAGGTAAATGTAAGACTTTTTTAAAGATGTTTTGAGACCAATTAAAGAAAGTTTAAGGAATAAATTAAAGGAAACACAACAATGTTCTCTAAATGTAAATGTCTACACAATGAGTTTGTTTCAACGTTTGAAAATACAACCAGCGTCGTTTTAGTATCAAGATACTATAATAGTTTTTATTAATATTTTGAATTAATTTTTATTTTGTTATCTGTTTTCATTTGAGTTAAAATGTAAGTAATTTTGTTGTTTTGTTTTAGCTTTTTAAATTTCTATATAGTTTTATAAATTTTTATTTCAGTTTTAGTTTGGTTAATTTAGTATATCAAGTTCAAACTAACTGAAAATTAAAAATGTTTCATTTTTTAAAAATATTTTCAATTTCATTTTTTTATTTTGCTTCTCACGTAAATGTATATTGATTTATTTTGGACAAAAAGGATTGATTGAAAACAAAAAAGCATTAATCTTGATTTGTATTAGAAAACAAGACACATTCTTTGTTGAAAATTCATATTCATTATATTCTCTTTTTTTTGCATGCTGTGCATGCAACTTTTATATCATAGCTTTATAGATTAAAAAAAAACTTCCTGCTCCAATTTAAGACCCTTTTAAAAATAGTGAAGGAGTTGCATTTATTCCAGTACATTGTTATTCCATTTATACAGAAAATTCACACACTGTGCAGTATAACTTGTGTATCTTAGTTTAGATTCTATGTGTACTAATCTGAAGTTTTGTCTTTTTTAATTTGATTAACTATAATTGTATATTCTAATAATGACTAATATAATGAACATAACATAAAGCATGATAATTGAATTAAGCTGTTTCAGTGATGCATCGCTGCTGAATCTCACATCAGCACAGTAAAGCTTCAGGACACACAACGGCTGCACAGACACTAACTAAAGCTTAAATGCTAACATATGTC